ATCAACCAACATCCATCCATCAGCCATACCCACCATCCATCAACAACCAAACATCATCCATCCATCAACAACCAAACATCATCCACCCATCCAACAGCCACCATCCATCCATCAACCACCATCTATCATCCACTAATCCACCATCTATCATCAACTCATCCATCAACCACTATCCACAAACCACTATCTATCATCCACTCATCCATCGGCCATCAACCACCATCTATCATCCACCAGCAATCAACCAACATCTATCATCCACTTATCCACCATCCATCCATCATCCACCATCCATCAGCCATCAAACACTATCTAGCATCCACTCATCCATCAGCCATCAACCACGATCTTTCATCCACTTACCCATCAGCCATCAACTACCATCTTTCATCCACCATCCATCAGCCATCAAACACCATCTAGCATCCACTCATCCATCAACCACCATCTATCATCCATTCATCCATCAACCACCATCTATCATCCACTCATCAATCAACCACCATCTATCATCCACTCATCCATCCATCAACCACAACCACCATCCAACAGCTATAAACCACCATCCACTCATCCATCAACCACCATCTATCATCGATCATCCACCACCTATATCCACTCATCCATCAACCACCATCTATCATCCACTCATCCGTCAGCCATCAACCACCATCTATCATCCACTTATCCAACAGCCATCAACCAACATCCATCCATCAGCCACATCCACCATCCATCAACGACCAAACATCATCCACCCATCCAACAGTCACCATCCATCCATCAACCACCATCTATCATCCACTCATCCACCATCCATCCATCAACTACCATCTATCATCCACCATCCATCCATCAACCACCATCCATCCATCAACCACCATCCATCCATCAACCACCATCTATCATCCACTCATCCACCATCCATCATCCACCAACTATCATCAGCTCATCCTTCAGCCATCAACCACCATCTATCATCCATCAACCACCATCTTGCATCCACTCATTCACCATCCATCAGCCATCAAACACCATCTAGCATCCACTCATCCACCATCCATCAGCCATGAACCACCATCCATTATCTATTATCCATCCATCAACCACCATCTATCATCCACTCCTCCATCAACCACCACCTACATCCATTCATTCATCAACCACCATCTATCATCCATTCATCCATCAACCACCATCTATCATCCACTCATCCATCAACCACCATCTATCATCCATCATCCATCAACCACAACCACCATCCATCATCCACTCATCAATCAACTACCATCTATCATCCATCATCCACCATCTATATTCACTCATCCATCAGCAATCAACCACCATCTATCATCTACTCATCCATCGGCCATCAACCACCATCTATCATCCACTTATCCAACAGCCATCAACCACCATCCATCCATCAGCCATCAAACACCATCTATCATCCACTCATCCACCATCCATCAACAATCATCCACTCATCCATCAGCCATTAACCACCATCTATCATCAACTAATCCATCAGCCATCATCCACCATGAATTCATCCATCAACCACCATCTATCATCCATTCCTCCATCAACCACCATTCATTATCTATTATCCATCCATCAACCACCATCTATCATCCATTCATCCATCTACCATCATCCACTCATCAAGTCATCCATCAACTACCATCAATCCATCAACTACCATCTATCATCCACTCATCCATCCATCAGCCATCAACCACCATCCACAAACTATCAACCACCATCCATTCATCCATTAACCGCCATCCATTATCTATTATCCATCCATCAACCACCATCTATCATCCATTCATCCATCAACCACAACCATCATCCATCCATCAACCACAACCACCATCCATCTATCAGCCATCAACCACCATTCATCCACCATCTATATCCACTCATCCATCAGCCATCAACCACTTATCCATCAGCTATCAACCACCATCCATCCATCAACTACCATCTATCATCCACTCATACATCAACTACCATCCACAATCCATCATCCACCATCCATTCATCCATCAACCACCATTCATTATCTATTATCCATCCATCAACCACCATCATCCACTGATCAATTCATCCATTGATCTATCAGCCATCATCATGCATTTATCCATCAGCCACCATCCATCCATAAACCACCATCTATCATTCACTCATCCATTAGCCATCTACCACCATCGATCAAAATTTATCCACTCATCCATCAATCATCATCTATCATCCATTTATCCATCAATCCCCATCCATCGACCACCATCTATCATCCGCTCATCCATAAGCCATCAACCACCATTTATCATCTATTCGTCCATCAACGACTATCATCCATTCGTGCATCAACCACCATCTATCATCAATCATCCACTAATCCATTCATCCATCAACCACAATCCATTGATTTATCAACCACAATCTATCATCCATCAGCCATCATCATCCATTGATCTATCAACCATCAACCACCATCTCTCATCTATTCATCCATCAACCACCATCTCTCATCTATTCATCCATCAACCACCATCTATCATCCATTCATCCATCAACCACCATCTATCATCTATCACCCACTCATCCATTGATCCATCAACTATCAACTATCATCCCTCATCCATTCAACCATCATTGATTCATCCATCATGAACTCATCAATTCATCCATCATAATCCATCAACCATCATCCACCCGAGGCATTACCGACTAAAT